AAAAAAAAAAAAAAACCATGGATGATGGACCAAAAGTGTGCAAGGTTGTATAAGTTGTTCTTATACGAAACTCCTCTTGCCCTGGACTTTTAGGGTGGCCTATTAACTGTAGTTTTTCTTTATACATGTAAATCCCTCCATTTTCTCCTCATCTGATTATATATCAGTTCAATATCCATTTTCAAACTGATACTTTCAGGATTTAGGGAGGTATATTTCAAGCACAATATTTTCAACACATAGAAACACAATCTATTAATATATAAAAAGACAATGATATTTAATTTAAATAGCAACTGAAAATCAGCAAAAAATATTCGATTTCCCGCCTAAGGTACTTACTATATTGAGTAATATATTAATATCCCACGTAAATTAATGTACAAAATCATTTTGGTCAAATATTGGCTATTATCTTTGTTAGTTGTATGATTTAAATTTGGAATATAATATATTGACAAAACTTGCAGTTATTATCTTTATTAGTTCCATGGTTTAAATTTGGTATATAATATATTAAAAAAACAAAATAAAATATTTACAATTAAAAATAAAAAATAATTATTCATAACTTACGTTTCAGTATTAACTTGGACGTAAACGAAATAGGCAATTATTTATAGTTTAATAAATTGTTCAATAACTTGCGGGTCAATATTAACTTAGACGTAAACGAAATAGTCAATTATTTATAGTTTAATAAATTACTCAACTACTTAATTTTTTTATTTGAATAGTTTTTACAAAATTAAATTATTTTAAGTAATGAAACAATATAAATTATAAAATTATACTTATTATTCACATTGGTTGTTAAATATATGATAACATTTTACCAAAATCACTATATTATGGATCACATTATAGTCAAATCAAATTTCTGAATAAAAATTTTGAAATGATACTTATTTTGAAACGAATATAATGTAATTTATTATCAGTTATGTGCATCACACGGGTTGTGTACTAATTTTAAACAGACATTTTTATGTAACTTTGTACAATTTAAACTTTATATAACATATTTAATAAATTAGTATAGGTAATTGTATTACATATTGATTGCATATTTTCAATTATATTACTTAATAAGAATTTTCATTTTATTAATATTAACGTATCGGTCTTACCCGTGCACGAGACTCATACTAATAAGGATGGTGATAAACGAAAAAAATAGAATAAAAATAAATAAATAACAATTTGATAACATAGATAGAAAAATCCAAGAACATATTATACCAAAAAAATATAAATAAATAAATCCAACAACATATGTTGGTAGTTGGTACCTTCAAAGAAGAACAAAAATGGTTTCCAAATCAAAATAGAAAAAGAAAAAATGTCACCGTAAAACCTTTCTGCGTTTTTTTTTTTT